GTTTCTCTTCTAAGAAAAAGATGAAGAATGAACCTCAGTGATAAAACTTTCCACTTGAAGGTTTAATTAACTACCTCAGCCATCAATAAATGTGAAAGATATGTTTCAGAATTTTTAATGTATATTGAATTAGGTGAACACTTATGGCTCTTCACCGTTCTAAATTCTCACTTCTACTTTTTTCATGGAATATGCATTTCCCCCTAGGAATGCTAAAAGGACTTTTTACACTGAATGACATAAAAATAGATCTGGCTGATAGATCGAAACCAAAATCAAAAGTCACAGTGAGCAAAAATCTTTTTTCAAGTGCGATTCTATTTGAAATCTTCCCTGAAAGATAATATGCTTCCTTACTGTCAGTGGAGCCTATATTTAAATCTCAGAGGTTGGTTGATTACAACATTTGATGGTCTGACCAAGAAGGAGTCTTATTTTCAAATGATGAATTTCAGATTGACCATTAGGTTTCCCTGGTGGCTCAGATGGTAAAGAATCTGCCTGCAATGCAAGAGACCTAGGTTCTATCCCTGAGTTGGGAAGATCCCCTGGAGAAGGGAATGGCAACCCACTCCAGTATTCTTGCTTGGAGAATGCCATGGACAGAGGAGCGTGGCAGACTACAGTCCACAGGGTCACAAAAAGTTGGACATGACTGAGAGACTAACACACACATTAGCGCTTGCAGGACTTGTCTGCATAAGTAATGGCAAAGGAACACAAGCCCTGTGAGTAATAAATTGGATACCAGTCCATTGACTCTCTATCAAACATTCACCAACTTGCAGAAAAGAGCTATCTGTCCCAGGGGCAGGCAAGTCATCTGGAAGGATAAAGGGGATACTTTAATCATCTGAAAGTGTAGTATGGCTAGAATTTAGCCCCTGGCTTATGGTCAACTTTCTATCACCTTTAGCTCAGTCCTACCCCAGGGCTTACCCTTGCCACATAAATACTCCTTATATAGACTCCCTTGGCTCCCTTTAAAATAGCAACGAAACACACAGTCATCTGTCCCATTTGGTCTTACTCTTAAGAAAGAATAATAGTCAACTGGAATGAGTTCTATCAGAGGAGAGATGCTGAGAAGTAAAAGTGAAAGTTGCTCAGTCGGGCTCAACTCTTTGCGTCCCGAACTTCTTCCCACAGTAGATGCCGGAGCAGAAGAACAGACCGAGACTCAGATGAAGTGAACATGCTTGACAAAAGATGGTATCCTGTTCTAGGACAATCTATAAAATTGTTATCCTTTTAGTTTGCCTTGGAGCAAGTAATACAAGGAGTTACAGGGAAAGACAACATGTAAGGAAGAAATGAGGTTTTTCAGCCTCTTTATTGTGTTAGATAGAAGTTTTTTTTTTTTTGATAGAAAAATTTTTAACTGAAGTAGTGGTTGTTTGTGGTGTGTGTGCGTGCTCAGTCATGTCCAACTGTTTGCAACCCCATGGACTATAGCCCACCAGGTGCCTCTGTCCATGGGATTTCCCAGGCAAGAATACTGGAATGAGTTGCCATTTCCTTCTCCAGGGGATCTTCCTGACCCAGGGATTGAACTTGTCTCATGCTTTCCAGGTGGATTCTTTACTGCTGAGCTGCCTGGAAAGCCCACACATAAGACCAGATGCCTTTTAATTACAGAGCCTGGGATTGGCATTCACAACTGCCACAAATCCCCTCTTATTTCCTCCAGAGCTACAAAATAGCGAACACTGCATACACTATGTACTTGACACATACACAGTATTGGAACTTTATGTAAAATGTTTGAGCAATAACACAGACTGAATTGACATGATCTAATTTTAGGGAGGGGCTTCCCTGGTGGCTCAGATGGTAAAGAATCCACCTGCAATGAGGGAGACCTGGGTTTGATCCCTGGGTTGGAAAGATCCCCTGGAGGAGGGCATGGCAACACACTCCAGTGTTCTTGCCTGGAGAATCCCCATGGACAGAGGAGCCTGGTAGGCTGTGTTCCATGGGGTTGCAAAGAGTCGGACACAACTGAGTGACTAAGCACAGCACAGCACAATTTTAGGGAGAAGAGATGGAGAAAGTGCTCTGCACAGTATCTACAAAGTGGGGATTTAGCTAAAAGAGTCCAGAAGACAAATGTGGATCATCTCAAACACATATGGGGAAATTCCTACTGGTTCAAAAGTCAGGAAGAAGAAAAGCTCATAGAAAACTAGCCTCCCACACAGACATTTTCACATGATAATGGGTCTATAAAGGGGGAGAATAGGGTTACCTGGCCAGAGACAACATATTAAAGGGCTGTGGAAGTCAGCAGATGTAGTGAAAAGTAATAAACTTATTAGCTGAACAAATGAAAGCCTTTTTATGGAGAGGAGAGTGACCAGTTGATTCCCATATCCATGAAGTTTCAAGCCAGAGAAGATAAATTTCCATTAAGCTAAGAAAAACTTGGACTGAAAATTAAGCAGTTTTCTCCAGAGAAATGTAACACTTGATGCTGATGTTACAGGCTATAGTTTTAGAGTCATTCATACTGTGGATCTTCTGAAACTTATCCCTATAAAACCTGGATAAAATGAATAATAATGAAAAGAATCCAATATTGAGAGGAAAATGTAATGGGGGAGAAGATCCCTGTTGGCTTGAGGGGTATTTCTAAACTAACTGCACGTGGCCAGATTTCATACTTTGTAGACACATTCGTTTATGTTACCTCGTCTGGGTCATTGTGTAACAGGAAAGCAGAGAATATCCAAGTCAGCATGGATCCATTTACTAAGGATGGCTCTGCTGAGGAAACATGTAAAATCATTAGTAGACTCCTCAAGGCTATGAAGGTGTCCCTTTGTAAAGCTTGCAGAAATGAGCAGACACCACCCATTCTGAAGAGTTCTAGATCCCCCCTTTTGGGAACCGAAGCCTCTTCCAGCTTTATATTCCATGACTCTAATAGGATATACCTCTCTGTGAACATGTCTGCAAAATGTATGATGCCACTTTGCTGGAAAATATGTTTTCTGTTCACCTTTAAATCCATCATATAAATGAGAAAGTTCTGTTTTTGAAAATATGAAAAAAGCAAAATAGCACTTAATAGAAAAGAAAGGAGAAGCCAGGATAGTGGCACTCCATAAAAATTAATAAACTTGGTACAATATTTAGTCAAAGAAAGGCATCACTTCTGAGACAGATGCCTGTAAATCTCACTGAAGCAGCATTGTTTTGCAATTTCCCCAGCCTCAGGAAATTGTATTAGGTACAGGAAGAAGTAGCACTGAAGACACTCAATTCCTGGCCTGAGTTTCTGGTTCAAAGCAGCTAGAACTGGCAATATGTACACTTTTAAAAACTGCCTGAGTGGAACCATTCTTTGCAGCAAGATAAGGGAAGGGAAGGAGTTTTAAGAATCTGTTTGCTTGGGGCCTTGAGGGGTCCAGTTTACTGTGGATATTACCAATCTAAGGACAGTACATGGATGACTAGATTTTCTTCTTCCCTAAAATCCATTTCACCAGATATTTGTGCTAGTTTTCTTGATTTGAGTTCAAAAGTGAGTCAGTTTTAGACGCAGATAGAATTAATTCACAGCAGGAGACAGCTTTTGACAAAATACTACTATTCCTCATTCAAGAAGAGTATTTGGTATGAATATTTCCTCAAAACTTCTTCCAGCAGATAGATACTTGTTTCTGAGGATTTTTTGTTTGTTTTGTTTTACAATGCCTCTGATGATGAGCAAGCTGATTTAGACACGACTTGCTTCTTTTTCTTTTTAAAGATACAGAATAAATGTATAGGGGCAATTTTTAAATCAACATTTATTGTGCTCTGCTTTAAACTTGGTTGTTACACATGACTGACATTATTCCCATATGCAAATATGATCAATCTCATTTTTAATAAAGATGTTGATTTTATGAAAAACAATTTGCTTAAAAAACCCAACATTTTACTGTTCAGTAATAACTAATTAAATGAGTACCCACCAAAATATTTTTTTATTTATGACAGGCTCAAGCACTTATTATCTGAGATTTAAAATCTCTTGTAAAAAAGAAAAATCTCTTATAAAATAGATGAACCTGGTTAAATCAAAGAGGTGCTAGGACTTGGGTTTGGACCTTCGAGATATCCAAAGACCCCAACTTCCTTTCAGCTGAGAGAGAAATCTTAGCACTCTAAAAGCAGAACCTGGTAGAACACAGTTACATAAAATGCCTTTTCAATTTTTTTCAGTCTATTTATTACCCTTTACTATTATAGGAAAATTGTGTTATCACCTGATTACTGAGAAAGCACACAAAAATCTCGCCTTCCAAATCTGACTCGGTCCTTGACTAGGATGAACAAAGCCAGACCATCTGCTCTGAATATCATTACCACTTTGGCCATTTGGGCAAAGGATCTATCTTCTCTGCTTCAAAAAGAGGTTTAAGATCAGAAAATTGAAATTAAATAAGTAGACAGGAAGAGACGTTTGGACAAATAACACTTTCCAACAAAAGCCCTATTTGTTCAGCTATTGTCATCATCATCATCATTTTAATTTTCATTCTGGCCACAGAGTTAACCTTTGGGGTCTCCATTTTACAAGACATTTTAGTTAAAAAAAAAAAAAAGAAAAAACTTAATTCCGGAGTTTCTGCCATAAACGCTTAGGAAGAAAACCGGCATGTGGGTGAATGTGAGTCATCAGTCACCCCCACCCTGCTTCCTGGTGATTCTCCATTGGAAAACCAGAAACTCGGATTGAGTGTATACATCTATCTCACCAGAATAATACTACACCCCAGGCCATGTTAATTTCCTGAACTAAACAGTCCCTAATCTGCTGAAAGGCAGCTGGCTAACTGCTGGTGTCTGGCAAGTACCCCATCTGTCCCCCTGCCTGGGGGCTCTCTCTCCCGTCTTCACTTTCCCTTTCTCTCAAGCAGGCGTCTCTCTTTGTTTTCAGGGCTGTAGTCTACCTGAACTTTGCTTTTCATGCCTGAAAACTTGGGCTCTTTTCCTGTATCCTGCGGACCTTAGGCTTTGTCTAAGTGACAAGATACAGTTGTGTTGACGGTAGTTACGGCGCTGGTGATGGTGGAGATCATGACGGTGATGGTGGGGATGGGGGTGCTGATGGTGTAAGGAGCGCAGGCTGAGCGGGCGCCGGGAGGAGGATGGACCACGGAGGCGGTGAGAGTGGGGTGCGAGAGGGATGGTGTGCGGAGGGATTGCAGGTGGGAGCTGTCCACGCACCGAAGTGCTGAAACGCCGCAGCCATGGCATCGCAGGAGCGGGGAAAGGCGGGGAAGCGCTGCAAATACAGAAGGGAGAAAAAAGGCAACAAATACCTTCACACGGCCGCCCAGCCTTGCTTTAGTAATGTGTTTCTGCAGGTGTCCTCGGTGCTGAGCTGAGTGGGTGAGATTCCCCTGTTCTTGCAGGTTCGGGCTCAGATTTCTCTAGAAAGCTGTGAATGAGAGCCCCGGCTCCTAGGGGCTGTGATTTTTGGTAGGAGGCGTGTGCGCCCGAGACTCTGTCCTTCTAAACGGAGCTTGGCTTTCCCCTGGGTCCTAAATGCCTCCGTACCCATGCTCTCCCCCGAGGTTCCGTCAAGACAATACGGAGAATTATTGCAATTTTATAACATGTGGGACAAAAAGTACTTAGCATTAACCAACCACCCCACCCCCTTCCACACATAAAACCTTAAAAAAAGAACCTTTTAAACTAATGCAAACGCTGAAAGAGACTGTGTGCGTGTGTGTGTGTGTGTGTGTGTATGTGTGTGTGTATAAATGTAACAGATGAAAAAGTACCACAAACCTATGGGGAAAAGGATGGATTATTTCATTAACAAATTGTGGTAAGAAAATGAACGATTTGGAAAAGGTTCAAATTAAAGTCTCATCGTACCAAATTAATTCCACCTAGATTAAAGAGCTAAATAAGAAAGTAAAATTAAAAAAAAAAAAGCTGGAAGAACATAAGATATATATGTACTGATTTCAGGATAAGGAAGGCTTTCTAAGCACCAGAGGAACAGAAGTAGTCATAAAGAAAAAAGGGCAATAAGTTTGAGTGCATAAGAATACTTTTGAATGTAAAAATGTCATAACAAAGTAAATATAAATGACCACTTGGAATAAATTGCAACAAATATATGTTTCATCTATAAGATAACTCACATATCAAAAGAAATACACTATCAGTCTAAAATAAAAAAGGAGGACAAACATATGACAAGGAATTCACTAAAGAAAGGTAAACACATTGTAAACCTATTTGTTTTAATCAACCTCTCTTATAAACACAGATATGTAATTTAAAATAGTGTAATTTTGACTGAGGGTTTAAGTCTACTCAATATCTCATATTGTTGAGATAATGATGAGGAAGTGCCACCTTTCTATAAAACTATTTCTAAACATACATTGTGTCATAATATATATATACATTTAGACCCAATGATTCTACTTTATGAACTTTATCCTGGGGATATAATCAGATATGCAGATAAGGATTTATGTACATAAGTTTAGTTTATGATCATAGAAATTGTCAAAAATAATGAAAGCATCACATTTTTGTATATAACCTATTATGTTTGAAGCTAGTAAAAAGGTATTTTTGAAGACTACTATAGACAAAGAAACATGCTTGCAAAATGGTAAGTGAAAAAAGAGCAATACCAAATACAGCACCCCCCATTAAACAGTTTTCATATTTACTTTAAAAAAACATTAAATATTTTAATGCAATCTTTTTTATCATATATTTCACAGAGATTTAAAATAGTTAGAATTCTTCCAACTCTGGACATATCATTTATTTACTTCTCTGTTTAATATCTCTCTTTCCAATAGAATATAAGCACCATGTGGTAGAAATTTTGTCTGTCTTGTTCACCACTGCTTCTCAACCATCTAGAAGCATGCTTGAATGTCACAGATGTTCAATAAATATTTGAGGAATAGAAAAATGAATGAATGACATAACCCCTACATACAGATATGCTTTTAAAGTTAATAGAGCTATGAATTTCATATAGAAAGTTATCCAGAAAGGTATAGTACAGCAAAATGATCTGAGGTTGTTACTGAATTTTGATCACATAGCAGTTCAATCAAAGGGACATCTTCAAAGGTATAGTTAATCATGGACATGACATGCAAACTAGCACCAAATGGAAACTTTTTAGGAGAAAAAGGTTTTCTCTAATTAATTTGCAGTCAAATGCTGTTCACTTCTTCTTGATCATGATCCCTTTAAAAGCTTTCTGGACTTTCTTCTGCGATGCTAATGTTAACTATCCTGCTTCTCTTCCTTCTTTCATCCGTTTTATAACCACTAATGGAAATATAAGCCAAGACTTAAGTATTTAGTTAGCCTATGACATAAGACTTTTTCAAAGTTTCAGATGATTTTGTCTACCTTTGCTCAGATGGTGTTCTTTTTCGGGTTTTTTTTTCCCCCCACTATCAATTGTGACTTTTGAATGACATTGATGATAACCTCACCAAGTTTTATTTGTATTTGTAGAAACAAAATCATACGTGTGAGTTTGTGTGTACTCCCTTTCCTGAGAAATCTTTAGGAGAAAATTCTCCCCACTTATAAGAGGCTGACTCATAAACCCAGAGTACACCTGCCTGATCGAGTAATAGGGCCCACAGAGATGGGGCAAAGTAACCACAAAACCTTATAGTCTTTCATTCTGAAAGTTTTAAAAACAGTGTTAAATTTTCCTTGCACTGATCAGAGTGGAAAAAATATTTTGTTTTGTTTTTTTAAAAAAACTGTTTATGATTGTTGCTATTTAGTCACTAAGTCATGTCTGACTCTTTTGTGATCCTATGGACTATAGCTCGCCAGGCTCCTCTGTCCATGGGCTCTTCCAGGCAAGAATACTGGAGTGGGTTGCCATTTCCTTCTCCAGAGGATCTTTCCTACCTAGAGGTTGAACCTGCATGTCCTGCATTGCAGGTGGTCTCCTGCATTGCAAACAGATTCTTTACCAATGAGTCACCAGGGAAGCCCTTATTTATGATTAGAATAGATAAATTCACTATATTACAAGATTAACCTCTTCCCAAAGTACCAGTGAAGGGGGACCATTTTACTTTATACTTAAGGGTATTATCCTTGTGTTTTTGATATGCTTATGATAATATCATTCTACACTTAAAATTTCTTTATAACAACTGCCCTTTGCTGAGTAGATGTCTTCATTGTGTTGGATCTTTTTGTTTTCAGGATCCAAATTATCTTTGCCCAGAGCTTTCGCTTGATAACTGCTAACCAGAGGCATCTGTGATGGGTTTGTTTTCTTTAGTCACACTGATTGAAATTGTCCTGATACACTGCACGTTCTGCTCACCCTCTCTTTCAGCTTCTCATATTTCTCAGCTGCCTCAATATTTGTTTGCAGGGTCCCTCCCTGCCCCCTTGTGTATGAGCAGCCAGTGCCAAGTTCAAGTCTAGTTTGCTCATCTGCTCATAAGCATCTTTCATGGTCCTTGACCTCATACCTGACATTGCCAAATTAGTTACTCATTTCTGCACTGCCTTAAAGTGAAGTGAAAGTTGCTCAGTTGTGTCTGACTCCTTGCAACCCCATGAACTGTAGCCTGCCAGGCTTCTCTGTCCATGGAATTCTCCAGGCCAGAATACTGGAGTGGGTAGCTGTTTCCTTCTCCAGGGGCTCTTTCCAACCCAGGGATTGAACCCAGATATCCTGCATTGCAGGCGGATTCTTTACCATCTGAGCCACCAGCACTTCTTAAAGGACCCTCTTAATATTGGATTGCTGTGGTCTGGGTTTGGTTAAGGGGAAGATGCTTGCTGTTGGTGGGCTAGTGACAGACAAAAGCTGTATCCATGTGGGAGTGCACTGAAGTCTGAGAGTCCAGGCAGGTGGGATAATACTCACAGAAACATCAGTATGTATAAGAGTGATGTTAGGGTGATATTACAATGGTAAAATGGCACATTTCTAGACAATTAGATGTTTAAGGACTGGGTAATGTATAAGGATTAAGATCAAATTGCGAAAGTAAAAATATTTTCCTTAGCCATGAGAATAATTCATTCTCCTTATATGCTCTCCTTAGGTATGCTTTATTGTCACTGTTATTTTTACTGTCTAATATGCAGGCCAGCTTTGAAGTTTTTGAGTTTGTTTTAGTCAGGATAGGCTAGGTGATGCAAATTAACTCCGCACTGCCAATGGCTTCCATGACAGTGTCTTCTTCTTTGTTAACATGGGTTTGGGGGTGGGGAAAAAGCAAAGCTCTGTTTTGTGTAGTCACCTAAAGGCCAGGTGAGGAATTGGCACAGCCGGGAAGAACAAGGAACACACTTCTTTTCTGCTCACAGCCCACTGGCCAGAACAAGTCACATGGCCCCACCTGTGTTAAAGGGAGCTGGATAATGTGTGTGAGAACAGTGGTATTTGGCGAGCAGTTGACGTTTATGCAACAGTCTACCCTTGTGGTTCCCCAAAGTATCTCAGTTCCCTTCTTAACACACACAGAATATACTCAGCCCATCTCCAAAGATTCATTTATTCACTACACCCAGGTCCAAGTTTAGGTCTCCAGGTTTATCTGATCCAGAGGTGATCCTCTTGTCTTAAAGATGAGTTAAAAAATGCAAGTTATTTGCAACCCCTTCTGCCAACATACCCAGCATATAACAGTAGGAGAGGAACAGCGTAACTACACAAATACTCCCAGTTAGAAAGGGAAGGATGGGAGGATCTTGGCAGTCACTGAGCCCAGTAATTCTGAAATCACACTAAGCAGATGTGGCTAAGACTTCCTCTACTGGGGAGATAGAGGGTTGTTTTTTTTTTTTTTATTAGAGCCTTACTCTGGTCTCTGGGGAAAGCTTCTTACTCCTTTGTTCTCTGTGACCCCTGGCACCACCTCTGAAAGGTCCCTGTTTTTTGCATTACACATCTCAGTCACAGCCAAAATGGGAATTACAGAATATGCCCTTAGTTGAAATTGAGTTTCCAACTTTAGTTTCAATTTCTGTTTTACTTGGGTCATAGCAAACATCCAGTTCTTTAAGGAACAGTATATACTCAAGAAACCACACAACCACATAGTTAAACATTTATAAATTCCAGCATTAGTTTCCTCAAAAGTCTAAATGACTAAGCAAGCTAAAAAGGTGGTAACATGGTATACAAACTGTATCTCTGAATTGATCAGTCCTTCTCTGCCTTGACCACCACCGGATGTCTTCTTCTTGTTGTTGTCATTTTGAGGGTTCTTGGAGAAAGTCAGGAAACCAAGGTCACAGGTT